GTACACGCGGGCAATTTTGGTCGGAAAGCGTTGAGCATGGCTATAGAGCTCTCGCAATAGGGATAAAGATGATTTCCGTGAACCTTAGGTTTAGCCAGCTCAGGCCGCATCACCGTTCGCCAAATTCTCGTATGTACATATCTCACTTTCTGTCAATATTATCGGTTGGTATTAGTGTATCGATTAAACCGATCTTGATTAGTGCGTTCTATGCCCTCCTTGCAACTAAGTACAACCATTAACATCGACTTTACTAACAATCTCTATCTTTGGAAATAAAAACCCTTCTGAATTTAACGTTCCTATTATGCATAGATGCATTTACTCGTTATTTATATTCGAGCAAAGTTATTATAAAAGAAAAGAAGATGTTTGTTCCGGCGGCAAATTATTTCTCTGGCATAGCATTTGACAACTATCGGTTTGTTGGGGAGAAGAAGAAGACGAAAGAGAAAAAAAGAAGGGAACCGACGGTATACGCATTTCGTCTTCAGCTTCGTATACAGAATGGAGGAAACGGAAAATCGAAAGTGCTTCACCGCCATTTCCGGCGGCCGCTCTCTCACGGCTGGTGTACCTCGGGCGTTGCTGTCGAATGCAAAAAAGGAGAATGAAATATCGCGTCTGCGAGCACGACGCGTGAAATTCTTTCGAAAATAGCTTCGTTATACGAGATGCCCGGTTTACACGCAGCTGTAAATCCTTTCGATTTAGATGGCACCGCGAAAATAACAATTTTTCCACGAACATTCGTCCCTCCAGCTGGTGGGAGGGAGTTGCCTCATCGCATTTTCCTTCGCCGATGTTCTCATCAATTTTTGTTCGTCGAATCGTAAAGTTTTCCAACGTGATACAAACGTCAGCTCGAGGGGACAAATCATCTCTGAAATTACAGTCTACCCCCGGTTGAACTCAGTGAATGTCGCGCGAACGGAAACACCATTATCCCCTCTGTTCCTCTGTCGCGACTTTTGACACACTTTCCGGCTTGTTACAGACGAAGCGAATATAGTGCCGGCAAGCCACTGGCTTACCAGACATTGCCAATTTTTCAGACTTCGCATGGTTATCTAGTTCTCAGATCATCCTGAACTTTACTGTCCATCTGTGTACGCTCTGATTCGGTTTGATAAGTTTCTTTAGAACCGGCAAGTTGAGAGAAAGTTTCGTCGTATGTAGGACGACCGAGGTGCTGGGAAAAATTGGAAAATTTCGAAATATCGAGAAACTCTGCTCTGCCTGGCCTGACTATCCCAACGATAAATCAGATTTCGTACCTATATTCTTCCTATTTACGTAACAAATATTTCTTATTTCGAATTCCAGCGTTTCATTCTTCCATTCGAGGACAATCGCAATCAAAATATAATTAATTTATTTATCACTAACTTTAGCGTCTACCTTTATAGTAGATGAAAAAAATCTTTGTCTAGACCCCGTACCTTTAATTCAGTTCAGAGATGATAGAAGCAATTATAGAAAATAGTGATACGAAAAAATTACACTTTTTCCCTCTCTTAGGGATAAGCAAAGATTGAAGCGTCTAAGCGAATGTAATCACGCGCACGCACGTCTATGTATGTGGCTGATCGTGGCTGTTACTGTGTTATCCGTCAGTTTGTGGGAGTGGCAACACGTGTTTCCCATGTGTGTCAACCCGCAGTCTAGTCGCAGAGAGGACGAGAAAGGGGGATATCGGCGCGATATCGGCCTGTACGACTTCTCATAGAGACGGGTTGCATACATATCGTCGGTTTCGTAGTGCCGCGTGGCACGAAGTGCACGAAACCCTTGCAAAGCTGAGCGAACACGTCCATGTGTTCCGCATGCGCGGTCTACTTCTATTAGCCTTTCTATGGTAAAAGACTTCTTTGCATCTCTAGGTAATTTTTCATAAGCGAGGGAGAATGTCTTTTGCTCAGGAACGTAGCCTGTACGCGTATATTCCTCTGACTTTTTCCTTTCCCTTTCACATAACGTTGACTGAGAGGAGAAACGGTAGCGTGATTGTGAACGATATCGAGTACTTTCGACTAGAGTAAAGAAATACATGAAAAGCGAATAGAGAGTAATTATTGATCGGAGTTTCTTTTGAATGAAGAAATAAATAGAATTCAAAATAATACGACATCGTTTTCCAATAAAGTCGATTTAAGAGGGGAATAAAATAGGTCGCGTTGAAAATTTGTGTACCTACTCTAAATACGAGAATGCATGAGAAATGCATGTGATTGTATCAGATAGGATTCTATTTCTAAAATGTTCAAGTACAATTCGAAAGGAGTACTCTACTGCATAGATTAATGTAATTAATCTATGTGTTTCACTGTAATATATTTTACTAATGTAAGTCTGAATTAAAAGTTAATTTTAGTCCTCATATTCCCTACTAAATTTTAAAACATCTTCCTTCTCGTGTTTTATCCTGCAATATACTTCCTTGAAAAAAAGTGGTAAATACAGGGGAAAGTGGTTTTATTTGCGATTTCTCTGGATCGTTTGCTAAAACCTTTGGGGGAAAAATCCTTGTTGAAAAATTAATCTATCCCTAGTAGCCATGTTTCGCGAAAACGCTTTCATTAAAAAGTTGCTTAACTAGGAATATTTGCAGATATTGTTATGAGGCGTCAGGCGCACAAAGCGTTATTGTTCTCATTTGTTAAAGTCTGGAAAATATGTAGTTGCTTGTTTCGTGAAACACACTTCCGTTGCAGGTCCCGTAAGCAGGCATCGGGATACAGCGCGCTAACGAAAATATTTATTAAAAATTTATAGCAATTTTCATGATGCTTTCTCTCGTGTTTCTAACTAACAGACACGCTTCTACGTACGGCCGGCTATTAGGAAACCCTTCGATTAGACATATCGTGGAAATGGACGAACGAGTTCAATTAAGAAACAATTATAGGCGTGGCAACGAAAACTCGTTTTCTGGTTGGCGGATAAAAATCCGACGGTCAACGAGCGTGGCGGGATGGCGCGGTGTGGTGCAACGACGCAAAATTGTGCTCGTGGAGTCCTTATGAATCGCCAACACGATGTAATTACGTCGACATTGCAACAAGTAATTTCGGAAAAGCGGTGCTCGTTCGCAAACCAACGAAATTCGTATACGAGAAAAGAAAAGAGAAAGAGAGGGAAAACGCGGGGAAAAGAAGAGGGACGAAACTATTCCATTGAATTTAAAACGATATTTCCCTTTCATTGATTTTTACACTACTCTGCCTTTCTAGTGTTGTGAAGCATTTTCACCTCTCTCCTTCGTTGTTTAGTCATACGTGGAACGCCACAGATTTAAAATACATTTGTTCGACTCCCGAAAACCATTTTTTCCCGATGTTCAAGCGTACCAGTGTAGATCGCCGTAAATGCATATGTGTGATAAATTACTGGATGACGAACGAGCGATATTTCTGCGTTAATATATTATAACGAAACTGTGTACGTGGGCGTGCGAGCACGCGTGCACGTGGTATAACAAAAACCATCCTCGCTTAAAAAATCCTGTGGTCATAACGTATGTTTAATTGCAAGAATTATCGCGTTGCCTTGAGTAACGTTAGTTGTAATTCGTATCAATGTTTCAGTCCAATCCATATAAACACGCCCCTTGCCTACTTGAAACATACATTTGACGTGGATTTTTTATTTTTTCAATTCTCTGGAAACAGTCCATCGGACGACTGAAATTGTCGATATTAAATTACGAAACGTTCGTCTGCCGTTATTGGATAGAAAAATACTGGGTTTCTCATATTAATTAAAGAATTAATTTGTTTAAGCAAACTTTCAATTATAATATCGCTATCTACAGATTTCAACGAATCAACAATTCTCAAGTAATAGATTCTCCAATAATTTTAATCTTTTTCGTGCTTTTCTAAAACTCACACGTGCCTTATACTCTCCTGACTCCCCGACATACGGCAAATCCCTATCCTCCGGACGCTGTAAGTCTCGAGTTCATGCAGGAAACTTGTAATTATTTGGAACGTCATACGTGGTTGTGTGGCGGACGCGAAGGATCTTCATTAAAGGACTGGGCCACGAAAGGATAATTAAAAGTTTCGCGAAGGGTGAAGCTTGCGGAGCAAGCTGAGGGGGAAATGTTGCGCGACTCGGCCATCCTGAATTTCCCTGTTATTTGCTCCTCGAAATTGCCCCGTCTATCTGCCTTGCCCTCGATCCGTGCATCTTCCTTCCTTCCTTGAATTTCGTTGTTCGGGAAACCCTGGATCACGCTGATCCGCGCCCTGAAACGTTAATTACGGTTGTCTGAGGCCGCGACAAAGTCGACGAAAGTTTGCCAGCAGGCTACGGATTGGGCACAGCCCGGGGAAGACACTTTGATTTTGTCAACACGTGATTTCGTTACGCACGCAATTAAGAGAGTTGTGTTCATATACGATCTTCTTTGACGATGAATGTTGAACTTGAAGGGTTCGCAAGAGTGTTAAGGTTTTATTTGATTTCGGAGCTAATTTCAACTTACTAAATGGAATTAGGTAATTTTTGGTCTGATCTTACGGTACGGTGGTGAAAAGTGTGCTTCTTGGTTAATCGATATCTTATGAACATCTTTCGCTTCCGTGTTGATAATAACGTTCACATTTTATACCGTACGTACGTAACAACTTTAAATAAGCACGAGAAATGATGAAATTACGGTACAGTAATTTTCATCAAATCCCTAAGTATGAATTTCGTTGAAATGGAGGCAACTTGAAACCGTTGTTAGTTTCTAACTTCGAACTTATCGAAGATTCTTGAAGTTCCTCGAAAACAGCGTGCCTTCGTTAGATAATCTCCTACGTTAATTATTTTACCGATTATCCTTTTCTTGCAAATATCAGACGAGATAAGATAAGTATCACACTAGAGAGAACGAGTATAATCGAGACACGCTTCAGTATGCTTGTGCCATTAAAAATTCTTAGCCTAGCTAACACGATACGTATCGTGACTAATTTTACTAATAATTAATCCCTTTCTTTTTACAGATATGTCTTACAAGCCGCAGCGTCCCATTATCGAGGGTGAGTGTTAAATAGAATAAAACTAATTTTGCACTTGATAGTGTTTCTAGACTCGCATAAATTGCTTAAAACAGACGTCTTTCATACTTTGGAAAATTACCAGTAACAGTGAAACACGGCAAATATAGTCAGACATCGAAAGCACTCGATACCCAGAGAAAAATGGAAAAAGATAGCAAACGACGTAGCACAATCGCGTTATAATGGGTTGCCAGCCGATGTAAACTAGCAAGCACGCGATATTTAAAAGCGAGTTATCTCGTAAATTGTTGGACACGAGGGTTCGCGTCTTTCCAGCCGACTCACGACTCAATTATACCGGGATCGCAGCCAGCTAGCGAATTTCGAAATCACACCGTTTCGATTCGAACGATCACGCTATCGTAGCCACGCTGACAATCTTGCCTTGTACAATGAACGGTCGTTCTTGAAAGTTATTTCTCTCGACGTGATTGTGATTATTTTGCACACCCTATCGTGAAACTGGCAATTTTTCAGTAGTCCAGCTATGCAATGGTCAGACATTAATAGTTGGAATTACGAGTTAGAGGATTGCGAAATTATTGCGTCGTTGCGTGGATTGCTGTAAAGTGCGTTTACATTCAGGCGTTTATCTCTCTTTTTCCCTTTTTATTTATCTTGATTTATGGGTGGAGTGATTTTTCCCATTGCAGTAGAATAGAATTTAGCTGCGTCTAGATTCCAAACGGTGCATGAATATTTCTTCCTAAATCAAGATTGCTGACAATTGTTCGATCGCGGGCTTTTTACGCAACCAGGCTGCATTTATTGTTGTTATTCGAAACATGTTCCGATCATTATCTTTTGTTGAAAAGCTACGTACTTCTATAAAACACCGATACAAATCATACTGTCAAACGCATTATGCGAGGGCACTTTTTCAACCATCTCACGCATTTCCGCCATTGTTGCACGGTACCTATTTGCACGCCATACTATTGGCGTATTTTGTTCAGGATTTTCGTTGGTAATGTTTGCATTTCGTGGTCATTGTAACACGATCATCTATGTATGTGCGTGGCAGATGTTGGTACTTCGACAAAGTATCGTGCATGGATATGGTCGGGTCATTGTTTCAATGAATCGCAACTCTTGCATTAGCTTCAATAGAACGTCTAGCGAAATTGAAAAAGAAAATGTTGGCAAAATTTCTGAAGGAAATTCCAATTATGAGAAACATATCATTAAAGGACGAATGTATTACCGATATGTTTGCATTAATTTTGCGTTATTTTTATTATTTCCGTTACATTTAAGAATTACTAATAGCTTAAAATCCTGTCGTATAAAATGTTCTTTATCATCGTGAGTAGGGAAGTTTTCTTATAATAAGCATTCTTGAAAAACATCCTGCGATAATTATAAAAAGAATTTGTCGAAATTTCTCTCGAAACAAGTAAGTACGTGTATCTTTCGATAATTGGCAATTACGTTTAAATCGATTCATCGAACGATAATTAATCTTTAAGCTCGATCTCGGTTCATTAATCATTTAATTCGTCTTTTCTTTGCGTGACGGTGCATAATTCTGGGAATTCGGCGTAAGTACGAACGAGCAACCGACTGCGTTGAAACATCGTTACATCTGATCGCCTTAACAAGGGTAGAAATTACTTTAACGCGTTTGGAGAGCAGCGGGGCGGATCGCGTGAAATTTGTAGCGCAGGGAATGTCGATTATCAATTATTAGGGAAGTTGGTCGTGTAAAGGACGAGGCGGACGTTAGGTACAGTTATACCATTATTTGAATAGTTCATCGATACGATCGTTTCGGCAATGCGCACTGCGGATATCCGAAGTTTCAACATTCGGATATTGAATATGGTTAGGCGGAAATTGGGAATATTCGGGATACTTTGGTCCATGTTACTTCGGGCAACATTAGATGTTTCGATGACAACGATGCGCCCGGCCAATTAGTTTTGAATTCCGCGTAAATCAGCCTTGAAGGGTCGTGTACGCGGCGGAATAATTGGAAACGGTCCCGATTCCCCGCGATTCGACGCGACGGTCTGTCAAATTCATGCGCTCGCACAGTCTGATTAGTGGCCAGAACAGATGCGAGGAGAAAGCGAATAGAAGTACAGACAAAGGACACGATATTTAATACTTCGAACGTGAAAACATAATGGTACAACTTTATTCGACTTAATGTTTTATAAATCATCGTTCGAAAGAAATTTTGCATCGTTTCTACGTTACACGCGTGAATTTTAATGCGTCTTTTATCTCTTTAATAACAGAACTATCTTTTACTATCAATTGTACGGGCCACGAAATTTCGAAATACAAAATTATCTTGCATTTTCTTTGTCCAAGCTTTGAACATTAAATATTTGAGTAAATGAAAATTATATCTCATGAGAATTTGAGTTCTCTATGCTATTAATTGGAACATAAACATTTCACGATTAATGGCCAATTATTTGCGGTAATACGTCTGAATTTGCAGGTGGCACGATATGCGCGAAAGAATAAAACTCGACAAGTACATTACTCGTCGCTTAAAATTTAATTCTCGAAATCCTATTAAGTGTATTATTTAAATATAAAATTTTAGTAACCATCGTGTGAATGCTCCTTCACGCGTTTTCGTGAATCGGCTTAACGTTTGCCAAGCATCGTCTGTAGTGTTTGCACAGAATCGTTCGAACGTTCTGAGAAGCTCGCGTTTTCGAGCGCATTCGCGTTGCCAAGAAAAGCCACGAATATCTCTGTATTTCGTACTCTTAGATAGAGGCACTCGGCGCGCCGCCGCGAAATTTATTCCATTTACGAATGGCTTTCCAGCAAATAATTTTTATCGGGTCTCATCTAGCTCGTAGTTTCGCTTCCGTTCCGCAAAAGGATAAGGAATTCCGCATAATTCCAATAAATAATACACCACGCTAACGAGACGCCCTTTTTCGCTTTTGCCTTCATCTCTCTTGAAACAATATTCTGCCGACTGTATTCACGGCACACGTAGCATTATATAGAGACCGTTTCGCTCTAACTCAGTTAGGAGCAGCTATTCGCAAATGTATTCACGGTATCGGCTCTCGAAATTTAATTGAACAAAAGAATTCTTAGAACCACGAGAAAAGTGTGCTGAATAGAAGGTATAGGGGTTAAGAGCTTCCGATTGGATCGGTGGCAAAGTAGTGTGTACTTTCAAAGTTTTTATGGAGTTGGGCAATTTTTGTTCTCATGCCGAGGTAAAGAACCGGAGTTGATCGAATTCGTCGAACTGAGATTTTAACTTGCATGTTTTATTCCTTAAGCAAGTTGGATTAAATCTTTTTGCATAGCTTATGTCTGTACGTATTTTCTTCTACTCGAGTTTAGTAGAACTTAGTGTCTGTCGTTCAACGTAATCTACTAGCGAAAATAGCGCAATCGAGGAAGTAGTAGCGGACAGTACGTAGCCAGACATCCGCAAACGTTTGAGATTGCCGTACCTTTCGACGTGCGCGTTATATTGAAAAATGTTTGAAACATGAACCACTTCACTTAATTAAAGCATTTCAAGCATACTCAGTTTTATCAGACATTTTTTCGAAACTTGAAAAACTTTTCCTCTATTTTTTTTTTTTTTTTTTTTAAAGAAGCTTATCGTTCAGAGAGCTTTTTCATCATTATAAACGACGTTTGCATGAGTTTTACACGATACATAAAATTTTGAGCACGACTTTTAAACTTTGCTGCTCCCCAGCTACTTTTTAGTAAAATTACTTACACATCGGCACCTCGTATATTTCTCCTGTCATATAAATTAACATTACATTCTCTCGTATATTTCGCCGCGCCTGTTACATAATTTCTGTTCATTTGCACAATTTTAACTGTTCTCTGTATATTTTACGACATCCAATATATCGTATACATTAATTGCGAAGCATTTCACATATTGCAGCCTTCGAGGCTCGAACACCCACACCGTTTCAAAAAATAGTTTCTCCGAATTGTTTTGCGTACCGTTGCTTTCGAAGAGCAATCTACGTAAACGAGATGCGTCCTATATCAGCACTGATATGCTATTTTGTTATCCCTAGCAAGTGTATCGCGATACGATACGCATCAGCCACATTACTGTCAGTCGAACTGGTCGCATCTACGTCGTATCTTTCGCGTGCGTTCTCGTGTAACGTCGACGTTCGTATGTTCGCATGGATTATTGTTTCGCGATTAAACTTTAAATCGTGCTAACAGCATGTATGTTTGCCTTTGAACGCGTTTTTATCAGAATGTTGCGTTTCATGTACGCCATATAAAGATATATTTCATGTCGATGAAGATTAGAATCGCCGGTAGATGTTTAAAGAGGATAATACACGTGACAATTATAATTCTTCTCGCAGACCAGAAGAATGATCTTTTTTCAACGATAGTGGCTTTGAATTATTTCAACCTGAATTTATGGTACCTTGATAGGCCTTAAATACGAGCGAGCACGTAAAGGTTTGTTAACGACGATGCATCTTTAAAGATAGTTTGAGACGGTATATAGCCTACGTATTTTGGCTTGATAAAGTTTACGAGGGGGTCAAAGGCCGAATAGAGGCTTCATGTAAAGTACGTGGCTCGAAGGGTGGGCAATTTGAAGTTGCACGACTATCGGTTGTTAAATGTTTAACGGCGGTGTGCTTGGTAAGGCGAAGCCTGTGTCAAGCGATTTCGTATCGTTAATCATTATTAATTTAAAAGAAGGGAACTTTGCGTTTCGTAAATTATAAGCAGCGCGAGCCTTATTCCCGTTTATGTAACGCGAACAGGATGTTTAACTTCCGTAGAACTTTAAATTCCGAATATTTTCTTGGATAACAGCTTAAAATAATCAACTCCCTGATTTTACCTCAAACAAATTAATTACGACGAAACCATGTTTGTGCAAAAGCATATACTTCGAAGTAATTCTTGTAAAATTGAGTCCGGTCGCATTAATATACACGTTATTATCTCAGAAATGCATAATGTTCGAATTTTGCTCTATTCGCCGC